ACTCCCGTTGAGGATGAGGTGGAGACCACCCGTGTCTTCCGCCTACTTCTTGCTCTGTCAATGCTATCAAGAGAAATGAGAGGCACAGGAACAGTCTTTACACCTGGAAGCGTTTGATTGCTTAACTTATTTGACACTCCTGTCAGTCCTTTCGAAATGCCACCATGAAGTCGTCGAGGTGAATTTGGTACTGTTGAGTGGGGGACATCAACAGCCAGTGAGGGGTATGGTGAAGTGGTTCTCTGTTGCATCCGTCTAGTCAAAGTCTCAAAAGGTCGTTGTTGTGATTGAGCTCGTGGCTGTACTGTTGCGGGACTACTGATTGATTTGGATACACTTTGATAGCATGTAAATAAGTGATTGGTGTTGGTCTGTACCGGCTTGATCTCCAAATTCGACTCCTCCTTCATGTCAGAGGGATGAAACTGCACAAAGTGAATCATTATTAAAAGTTTGTTTAAATCACCCTCTCCAGACAGGCAACGTCATTCAAATTACTTCAATAATATCTCATTTTATACCCCAACACTTACATAAAACAAATTTTGCCTGTATTTTTTAGACTTTTGCAGGGCTTTTCAATGAATGCATCTATTTTGGACTATTAAAAAAAAGAGAGACTACATTTTGAAGCCTATTTAAACAAACGCCACCTTAAGGCTTCAGGTCATGATGCAATGAAAGGCGGCTTATAAGCATTTGAATGACCTTTTGTGTGGTGTAATCGTCTCCCTTCTCCACAGTGAAGCCGTATGGATCTTTGATGTAGGCGTGGTAGTGACCACCACAGGCAGCAGCTCCAGCATGAATGACAATGGAGAAGAGGTCGTAGGTGATTGGCTGGTTAAGGGGAGGCGTAGGTGTTAACACCAGCACTTATGTCTACTGCAAATTGGTAAATTCAGATTGCTCACCCCTACTTGTTTGCTCGCCAAATAGGTGGTCATATCGAGGAGGATGGGAAAACTGCACATCTTGTCCAACTTGCACGCCTCCATGGTTTGGGGATTAAAGTAGAATCGGGAGAGGGAGAGAGTTAAAATTGGTGGTAGATCGGTAAATTTAGTTGTCTAAATATAAGATTTTTGAGAAATAAAAAAAAACACGTTAAATAAGAAAGTAAAGAGGATGACACAGGGATTAAAGGCATTCACTTTTGTGGCATCCACTCGGTGTTGACAATTGTCACAGAAGTACTGATTATCTCCAACCAACATTTCTGTTTGAGTGTGATACTTCAAGGCGTCTTCAATGGAATCGCATTGGGAGACGGAGAGATTGACGTCTTGAAATTCATCCTAGACCATATTAGTCAAGTTTTATGCTCACAACCCACCTACATTTTGCTCACTCACTTGACCACAGGCAAGACACTTAATCTGTAAGGCCACAAAGCATTGAGGAGGGGGAAATTACAACTACCCACCGTTGTTTTACAAGCTCCCTTGTAAAGATCACTGATGAGTGTCCGTTCAGATGTGCCTTGTAAGTTATTTTCAAGTTGTTCAAACAAAAGTCGATTAAGCTCTTGAATGTCCTGATGAACTAGCACCTAGAATGAAAGTGTCAACTAATTTGTGCCCACAGCAACTTCTTCTGACGTCCAGCCAAAACTGTCAGTCAGGGGTTTGGCCGAAACAGGAATGCCATCTCCTTTCACGAGGTTGGAGAAGAGAGCCAACAGTTCTTGCAAAATCTATCCACACACACACACCCCCACATGAGATCACCCAACAAACTGTTCAACTTACCCGTTTGAGGTGGGTGATGTTAGTCCTCTTGGCCATTAAAAAAAGTCTACCTATAAGGTGAGACGTGGGTAGAATTTAGTAGTAAAAACCCACTTGTTAGATCTGGTGTGTGTAGTAATGTTTGTAAAAGGGTATTTAAGTAGCATGTAGCTCCCTGATTGGCTATTCCACTGATGCGTTTCCGTGGCGCCGCCCTCCACGACTCAATGGCATTCACTATTTCCGCCAAGTGTGTATCATCATGGCGAGAATGCGGTGCATTAATTTGAGCCATGTGTTCACCTTGTAAAATGCATTATTTATTTTTGCATAAAAGTGAATTAAGTGAATGGAATTTTCTTGACTTCTTGGGCGGAGTGACACACTCTTGAATGCTCGCCAAACGTGGAGGCGCCTATCGATCCAGTTGGGATTGATCTCGCCATGTGGAGGGTGTAAGGTGAAAGAAAAAAGGCGAGAAAGTCACAGTTGAAAGTGTAATCTATCCCATTTTAATTATTATTATGCAGTTTAACGTACTTTTTAAGTAGACCTGGTTAGAATGTTTAAATAATGAGTCGTGCCAAGAACTCTGACTCCATTTCTGTGTCGTCTACTGGTGACAAGGGAAGGCGCATATGAGCAAGGCGAAAGAAGTGCTCATAAT